ACTACTAGCCGTATATCTAGCGATACGTCACTTTCGACATGTGCTAGTAGGCCGCTCCTTTGTCGTCTTCTCCGATCACAAACCCTGATTTACGTGCTCGGCTCGACTACCGACCGATACTCTCCTAGAGAGTCGCGCCACCTTGACTATATCGCTCAGTTTACGACCGATATACGGCATGTCTCAGGTGTGCACAACGCCGTCACCGATGCACTTTCGTGCATTCAGGCTATCTCCGATGACGCCGGCACTGCTATCGACTTGGCAGCCATGGCCACAGCCCAACTCAACGATCCTGAGCTTGATCTACTACGCAAGTCTCCCTCATTGGATATACGACCCGTTCCGCTGACATCATCAGACGGAACTATACGCTGCGATTTATCCCTGGGCATGCCGCGCCCAGTCGTCCCACGCGAGTTTCGGCTGACCGTGTCTGACGCGTTGCACGGCTTGTCTCATCCACGCGTTCGTGCATCGGTTAAACTCGTGACCACACGATTTATTTGGCGCACTGTTAATCGGGACGTCCGTACCTGCTTGCCATCCGTGTCAACGCGCGAAAGTGCACAGGCACACGAGAAGCCCATTAGGCGCCTTTCCAACGCCGGACGCACGTTTTTATCAGGTGCACGTAGACCTCGTAGGTCCTCCGCCGCCTTCCAAAGGCTCTATATATCTGCCGAACTGTACCGGTCGATTTACTAGATGGTCTGAGGCCGTCCCTATCCCAGGTTGCTCCTCGGAAACGGTAGCGAAAGCTTTTCTGGAGCGCTGGGTAGCTCAATACGACTGTCCCGCCACCGTGACCACCAATCGAGAGTCACCTTTCTCGTCAACCTTTGCCATGTTGCTTAAGGATTAAGGCTGTCGCCACGTCCAGACGACCGTGTATCATCCGGCCGCTAACGACATGGTGGAGCGTTTCCACCGCCAGTTGAAGGCAGCGCTACGTGCGCACGCAGATCCTTCATGGTCTGAAACACTTCCCCTCGTTCTCCTAGGCCTAAGAAACACGGTTAAAATTGATCCCGAAGCAACACCAGCGCAGCTAGGCTACGGTTGCGCTCTGCGGTTGCCTAGACAGCTGGTAGTACCAGCCCCATGTACTTCACTTTTGACTACGGAAGTTACACTGACCGATTGGCTCACCAGATGCATGAGACACGTCCACCCGCTCCACGATCGCAGAAGACACCGGTGTACGTGCCCGAGAAGCTGTCTACGTATTCACACCTCCTTCTTCGCGCAGACGGTGTTCGACAGCCTCTTCCGTCGAAGTATATAGGACCCTTCAAGGTGCTACATCTTGCGAGTAAGGTGTACACTATTGACCGCGTTGATCAACACGAAGTCGTCACCATCGACCGTCTAAGACCCGCCTTTATGGAAGTAGCTATCTCTCCTACTTCGTCTAGTAGTGTTACGTGCGACGTCACAACTCACCGCATCAGCTTACAGCATCCTAGTGCAGTTGAACCAGACCACGATCTCGGTCTACAAGCCGTCCCAACGTCTTCCGAATCTAGCCCGCCGCGTCTCACGACCAATCTCCGTGGTCGGGAGGTAGGTAAGCCCGTTCGTTTCTCCGACTATGTACAGTGTAAATATTTCTAGCTTGGTAGATATTGTATATATTTGCCCCATTTTTGGTCGCTTAACGTGTTGAAAACAAACAAAATATCAAAAGCCTCCAAAAAGCCTTTATCGAAAAAAATATTCAAAAACCAAAACATTTGAACACGCAGATCCTTTGTTTGTTCTTTTTGGGTTTTCTGCGCGTGCTTTTCTATTTTCTCGTCTCTACATGCCTCAACCCTCCCCTTCGATCGATGGGCCCACACGAGGAATGTTTTCGAGGACCCTGACGCGAACACTGGTCGTTTCTTCGCGGGACGAGGGTCGCTTCTCCGTGGGACCATGGTCGTTTTCTTCGTGGGACGAGGGTCTTTTTGGCGCGGGAAGGGGTGCGGCGAGGGGAGCGACCACTCCAAAGCGCACCGTTTGGCAGCAGCTGAGGTTGAGGTCCTGTTGGCCATTTTCTGGGCTAGCCCGCTCCAACGGCTCGCCGAAATGACCCTGCCCTGCAATCAATAAATAACAAATCACAAACGGCACAGCGGACTTTGACTTCCGGCGAACCCCCATTTACACGAACACTCCCTCATTTTTCCTCGGCACTATTTTGCCTTATGAACCTTGATTCAACAGTTCTTTTCGAAATCGAAGGCTTTCTATGTGCAGCCTTCTAGATGGGGGGCTCTGTAGCGCCCAAAAAGTAACTTATCTTTCATGTACAATTTACTTGTTGACCGATTGTACATTATTCCATCTTGTTTTAATCGTTCCTACAACCGGCTCGTCACTCAACTGCCTTGTAAGTTCCCGCGCTCGCGTGTTCGCTCTCTTCTCGCTTCATCCGTCTGCTTTTTATTGTAGCCAATCGAATGCAGTCCGCTGTGTCCGATTCCGATTGCCTTCTGATATCCGCGCTTAATTTCGCGCACCGTATCGGACTAGTATTAACTAGTCCTACAATCTGCCCAATCTGTGGGAACCAGAGAGAGGAGAACGAGATTTGCGAATGATATAATAGTATATTACTCAGCTGAAGCGACGGACGCGTTGTCTCAGTCCTAAGTTGGTAAGAATGTAAGAAGTCAGGACGGACAAACACATGGAATTTATCCTCAACCAAAGAAGGAATGCAACAGAAAGAAAAGGGAAGAAGATATCGGTAAAAAGTTCACTTGAGAAGAAGTGGAAAAGCCAATGAAGTCCTTCAGGTGATGCTTCATCCTTGTTAACAAAAAGAAAGATGAATCATCCCCAGTAATGTAATTGAGCTACGGGTGGCAGAGCGTAGCGCCGGAACAGGTAGAGAGCATGCCATGCAAAGCACTGTGGCTGTGGCATGCAGTTTTGAGACTACGGCGCCTAAATGGTTTACGTCTCGGATGTCTGGAAGCAAGCAGAACGAAAGAGACTGGTCAGGCGTGGTTACCTTAGAGCCAGACCCGAAGAGTTACTCGTCCACTTAATAAAAGGAATGCAAACAGAGAGAGCGAAGAGGAAAGAATGGGGTCTTGAGGAAAAAGAATCGGTTGAGAGGAAGTGGGAAAGCCTGCAAAGATCTCGAGGTCTTGTGCAGAGACCTTTGGAGCTGTCGATGATACATCGGTAAGGCCACAGTGCTCGGAACGCAGCTGATCATTCAGACGAGACTAGAATGTCAGGTCATAGAGAGAATGCCGTAGTATTAATGTCGGAATGCTAACTGAGGGCGTCGGCAGAGATGGAGCTCTTAAGGATGAAAAGGAAATGTCATAATAAGGATGAATCATGGCCAGCAATGCTGTTGAGGTAAGGGTTACAGCTCGTTGCGTCGGCACAGCCTAGATCATTTGCATCTCAGAAGTCTGAGAGAGGTCCGAAAACAGGAGGCCATGTCGACTAGACCAGGTACGTCAGTAAGGTGAAGCCAAATTGAGGTGGACATAACACTATTGAGTGTCATAAGAAAAAATGAATTTTGGGACAACAGCGGCTAAATGCAAAGCCAGTCAGCATGTCGAGCGAAGCTCTCAGGCTGAGGGACAGAGTGGAAAGGTTAGTTTCCCCAAACACAATGCAGCAAAAGTACCAACGCATTCATCCGAGGAATTCAGCTTGACTCACCGTCTCCTTTCGCATTAATCCTTATTGGTATGGCGCAGGCATTGCCCATTACTATATACATGCAGAGTGCATATAGATGGATGGACGCTCTCAACGCCCTTATCGTTTGACAAAGTACAACGCGGAAACGCTGAATAGCCTGGGTGAAGTTAATTGTGGCGCATCGGGTACTGCATTTACACAAAAATGCCGCGGGAAGAAGACCTATCGCTCTTGGGAAGCCACGGAATATAGGCACTGTTGGCTTTACGACGGTCACACCGTGTTGCCTTACATGCTTGATGCCCAGTATTACCGGCATTTCCTTAATGTTCATTTGACAAGCTACCTACTTTGCTACCCCTTTACCAAAAAACACATTTGCGGTATACACGAGCAGTATTAAATACTTTACTTGAGGACTTCCAAGTGAAGATGCAAGGACCAGCAACATACGTTCTTTGCCATATTTAGCTGATGGGGATCAACTATTTGGAACACTGGACTGTCTCCACGTCTAATTTAGTGTCACACATCTGTATTAAAAAGAATACTGCACAGCGGATTGAACCCGGTGGCACAGGTGTTGCGAAGCTTACATGAGTTCGAGAACCCCAGCAGTCATCCTTTTCCCTTTCCTTCCGATGAGTTGTCTGGATTTATTAACGTTCATGGACAACTGTACTTTCGCTTAAATAGAACAAAATGTGCCCCAAAGAAGCCGCACAATATCCTCATACTTGATAAGAAGCCATAACTTTTAGTAGGTGTGGAGGATCATCCGGGCACCATGGGATACACAAATTGCCGACCGTCTACAAGGCTAAGTGGCCTATATAGCCATGGCGTCAATTCTTCAAACCTTCGTGTTTTCCAGGTACCGGGTCTTCGAGATGGGATCATTCTGAAACCCATTGCGAACTTGCAGTGCAAGGCGATTTGTTTCGAAGTTTTTGCCGGGTTCGTTATCATTCCTTTGTTGCATACCTCCTTTCAAAGGACTACGTGGATTAATCACCTTCGAAGTTGAAGCAAACGGTTTCAGGCATGAAAGGGTGAAGTATACGAAACCACTCGCCGTTATCCATTGTCCATCTCTGTGTACCGTTCCTTACGTCCACATGCTTCTATTTCAAAATACTATGACCGAGGTACGCCCTCATAAGCAAAACCTGGCTACTGGTTGATAACAGAAGAGCCATTTTACCGAACCTGGGATTGGTAAACAACCGAAATGCTGTTACTTTACTTATGCAGCATCTCACAGCAATACAATCTACCACCTTCATATTGTAGCTTCATCAGCTATGTACCTTACTGTTCATTTTCGTTATATGGTTAAGAAGACGCACGAAGTACAAAACGGGCTTTCCCGTTGCATTTGACAACGTCCGAGACAATATTTGAGGAGACACTGGAGGGCACGTTGACACCCAAAATGTATGTCAAGAACTTTGTACGGTTTAGTAAATTTAACAGAATTCGTACTTCACCACATTTGCAATGGATTGCCAAAGCATCCTACAAACTTCAACTCGGCAAGACAGGATCCGCAAGATGCGGTGTTGCGCACATGTAGGTTTCCATGCAGCCCTGAACAGTCCCCCTGCATCCTACACCTCACCATTACGTGCAAGTACCTCATACACTGCAATGGCGTTTCACTTTGTAACACAAGTTCGCTGAAGTCAATCGCTGTGCGCTCCGCTAAATGTCAAAGTAAAAACATCTTAATTAACCTTGTATGGCACTACATGTAGAAACGCAAAATACAGTTTCCGCCGACCTCACGAATTCAATGACATACGGTATCGGTTTGTGTGTGGTTCAGTGGACTATCTTTTTAATAGCGCCCATCAACGGCACTGAACTAAAAACCACTGGGCGAGGGGATGTGAAAAACATGCTAGAAGCCATCCTTGGTACCTTTCCACCACGGTACCTTAGTATATATTCTTCTTTTACAAACGGTCAGCGACGTAAAGAGTGATATCTCCGCTATGGAGGAAAACGTTCGCAGGTTATCTAACGCTAAGCATAGCGCTAAATTGCGCGACGACGGTTTGTAACAGCTGCCGGTTAGGTGTGAGTTGGAACTAATATCTTTAAATGCGTTGCTTGAAGATGTTGATGGACTAAACAACTGCGTATGCAGTGCATTCTTCTTAACAGATTCGCAGAAAAACCTACTTGAACATATTCCTGACGGACTCCATTAATGGCATGCTAGATCGTGTTGTCACACGGAAACCTGCGGCGGAGGTAACTTGTTCCGGTGCGCACGACTCTTTCGCATGTGTAAAACCTAGAACTTTTGCTGCGTTGCAAGGTAATAAACCTTTATGTTAAACAGATCACCAATGAAGACGTCTTGTTGTCTCGTTACGAACATAGCCATAAGCCGCGGGCTGTGGCTGATGTCATTCGCAAGCGCCTGCGAGTGTTATGTAGTCACAACAACCGCTCCACCAGCCGCTTTACTGAAGAAAGCCAGCAATAGATGAGATGTTTTGCAAACTAATCATTTCTTCTAATGGTAGTAAGTACACATTGTAGACCCGACTAATTTCTCAAAAGACTGAAATGCATCCCCTTTCCTAATGGTCTGTGCATGTTTCCTGACATATATATATACTTTGTTTTTTACCTTGCCTTCTAACTTCGGATTACTGAGCTATGAGCCAATGCGTACTGCGCTATGTTTCTGTGGGCCGCAAAGGTTTGCATAGCTTTGCGACATCCTAAAATATTGGGCTTGAAAATCCTTACCTGTATATAATTTTCTCTAGTCGCAAGCAGTGATCACCTACAGTTCCGCAAGCATTTTTACTAGCTGTTACTGTCGTTTTTATAGGCAATGGCGTGGCAAGAACATGCGACCCGAACTACTACAGGCCTGTAAGAATGTTAGCTAAACGGCGATTTATCCCTGGGCAAACAGTTGTTTTGCTGACACGCTACCGGGTGGTTAAGAAATATGATCTGTTAACTTAGACCAATGGTGCCGACTTGGCTCAGATATTTCTCGGGTCCGCCCTAGAGGCGTTTTGCCTCATAACTTAGGCAATTGCGTACGCATGTACTGGTAGGGAATTTCCCTAACGCTTACAGGCCTGTAAACGTTCGTGTCGTATGTGTCTGCCACCCCATTGCCTATAAGAACGACAGTAACAGGTAGCAAAGATGCTTGCGGAACTGTAGGTGTTAAGTGAGAGCACACGCTCAGTATTAGATAGGATATATTTTCATATAAACAGCACATCTTACGGCATCTCACGATAAAATCAAAGCAAACAGCGTCAAGCTAATGCAATCAGCCATTTGCAACGTGTGACCTAAACCTACCTCCATGACAGGATGAAATTCCAGGAGCAGCAGATCTGTCAACTTTTCCTCAACCAATAGGCCAGAATTTTAATCTAGCTACCAGCCGGAATGCGTACATACACTTCTGAATTAGAATTTCGCAAAGGCACCAGAAACCTAATTGTAATAACTTGACCAAACTATTTGCTTGTTCCATGACAACAAGTCAAGCGTACGAAAGGGTCTAGGGTTCATATAACCCAGTAAATGTTTCGCCGTGATACTCTTTCCTGTGAGTAAGCTGCCTTATAACACGGTATGTGAGACAGCAGTTAAAGGCCAGTTAGCGTTGTTTTATACCTTTGTAGATTTCCAAACGTCGTTAGATGGTCTGTTTTTAAGGTTGCTTGATGCATTTGCGATTAGTGTTCTGTATACGTATGCAACTACCCGATCTTACCAAAACTGGCGTGTCTCGCGTCATTGAGATTAAAACTTTATTTATTTAGGACTATCAGCCCTGAACTGGGTGCAGTTGGAATGGTCCGTCCAACACCATTTCCCGTACTGCTTGAGCTTTCCCGTGGAATCCGTCTAACAGTGCTGGTTGGCGCTGGCACACTTCTCTTGGTCATTCCGTTTCATGTGAACGACAACCGGCGGCAGATCCAGCGCATTTGCCATGGCGATCACTTCCCTTCTAGCTACGGAAGGTCGTCTGCGTCTAACAGTTGATGCGTAACATACTATTCTTAAACTACTTACTAGGTTCTGATTCGCAACTTATATCCACTGTGATCTGCATTAATATTGGAAGGCAAGGGGCGGTCCACCATGGCGGCATTTTTAGTACCGTCGATTGTTCTCTACCAAATAAAAAGGGCAAAACGTCCGGATAAGCTGAGGGTTGAATACTCTGAGGTTACGCTTTTTGATCAACAACACATTTCCTCCCTGTGTAACACTTGTGTAGATGTCCTTCGCAGCGATGTCCTTACTTGTCCCACTGCGGGTGTACCAAAGCTACGAAGCCCAAACTAAGTACGTTGTACGAAACCCAAACTAGTAAGTACAGACCAACCAACCTAGACTTGAAGTGCAACAGAAAACATGTTCTTTCAGTATCGTGTAACATTGGATTTTATGGTTGTTTTAACCTTCGAAACGTCCATTTGTTTTACTGACCGCAAGTCCGTTGTCACAAACCGTTTTGGTGAGTTCCTCGCTGCACGTTTCTCGCTCTGTCTGATTTGCTTCCTATTCTTGTAGCCTGTACAATATATGTTGGGTTCAGTCGCCTCTGACTTCTATACTGTCGTATTTGACACGTATTACGTGTCGTTGCTTACCGGCTAGTATCCCAGGCTCCGCCCAACAGACTTAACGCACGGCCTGGGAAGAAGGATGAAACAAAGTATCCTGTAACCGTAATTCTATAAGACAAATTAAATACAGTAGATGATCTACGAATAGGTTTTGCAATCGTGGTGCAAGTTGGCAGCAATTTTAAAGCGTGCGTGGATTTGGCATTGTCACACTAACAGATGAAAATGGATGACCTTGAAACTTCAAGGATATGTCAGTGATCAAGCGTGAAAGGAATAAAGGTTCAAGATGGTAACTGACTGTAGCACACAGAGGGAAACCAATGTAAAATGGACAGAATACTTAGGCAATAGGGATACTGTGTCCTCAAGTAAGCGATCCAGGTTGGGAAATACGTCAGAGTTCCTTTTGGACTTTACAGCAGCCACTATCACCAATTTTACCTCAATGACCCTAACAACCATGCATTTCAGCGAAAACTAATGTGCACTTTACCGTGAGCGGAGTATATGTGGCTTTCACGGGTATATTTTGCCCTCAGTCGGGACAAATTTAGACCATCGCCCAGGGCGACAAAAGCAATTGCTATGTCATTGGTTCGATTACACTTTAGCGCAGTACATATAAGTAATCTTTTTATTAATTGTTGACGTCGTTGGAACCTGAGGAGTTAGTAGTTGTTTTAATCTATTCAAACCTTCGCTCATCGATTAAAATTCCGCATGTAAGACAAGGCAAGCAAGTGTTTTGTACACACAGAACGGGTCAATATTCAGCCGTAATACACGCTTTCAACGATGCAGCATGACATAAATGCAGTTGAAAGGAATGGCATTATTAAAGAAAAACACCATACTATGAACATACAATCTGGCCGGTTACTTCTCCAACGACCTTATTATGATCCAGCGAAAATGGCGGTAGATAACGAACAACTGCCGAGTGCTAGGCTCGTGTTCAGATATATATGGGCTTGGAATGCTGACTACTTTACGAACTAAATGCACATTCTGATAATATTTAAGAAGAGGGGTGACTCGTGTCGGTAAGTACAGTTAACACGCATCTCGTTCAAAAACTAAAATGAGTAGACACGGTTACACCAATAAATGTTAGCTTTGACAAATCACGACAAGTGTTTGGAGATGTCGAGGTTAAGTTAAAGTACTTACGCAGTAGCCCGACACCAAGCAGTGTTAAGCATTACGTTCATTGTGAAACGACACATGTAGTAACAAGACGATGCATCAAATCAGGAGGACAGAAGAAGCTCGCAAACGTCAGACCTACTGACTTTTGTGAACTTCTCGTTTTTATGTTGTGACCAAGATAAGTTGAAGCTAAGCATACCTGATGTGGAAGAGTGCAACCTCTCGCCATCGATGGGTTTCGATCATTGTTAAAGAAGCTGTTGAAATCGATTGCCTCAGTGCACTGAAAAATGACATCATTGAACATTGACAATGAACAAAGTGTTGTCTGCAATCATATACCTCGGGTGCACACACAAGCGTGTGTCATTGTACCCAGGATTATGCTGATTCTTTCATGTCGATGGTCAGTCACACCATAAGCCAGGTACAACAAGCTTTATTTCCCCCGTGTAAACAAATGCTGCTTCACCATGCAGCGGGACTCAGCGCATTTCCCCTAACCCAGAGGTGTCCGAAGTCCGGCCCGCGAGCCACATTCTGCCCGCGTTAACCTATTAACTTACCATCGGCCTCAGCAGGAAGTAATAAATTCAAGTTTGGACTTCATTCATACATGAATAATTTTGTTATTATCCCAATGTCAGGCTGAATATGGCCAGACATATTTTTGCCTTACAGAATGTGGCCCTCCTTGCAAAAAGTTTGGACACCCCTAACCTAACCTCCTCCGCTTATCCTATGTAAACTGCAGCTATACTGCTAGTAAATAATAATTTGTTAACTACGTTGTCGAGCTAATTAACGTGAACAACAAACCGCATTCGTGGTGATGATGGTTATACTCCT